ACAATGCAGTTTCAAGGCTAGTAGTGTTACCTGCTATGAAGTTAAGGGCCACTAGACTTCTATTGATCACTACTGTACTCTGCAATAGCATATGTAGGGTTGTCATTCTAATATTGTAGTGCTATAATGGAAGTAACATGGTCTTTAAGCATTGAACACTATAGTAGGTCTCATGACCATTCTTATCTTGAACATATACACAATTATGCAGTTTATAAGATCATTACTAGACCATATCCTTATATCCTCTAGATACTCTTATATTGATTTAGACAAGTTGACCCTTAACTCTAAGTTGCTTAAGCACTTAAAGACAATAGTCTTCACTCTAAGACCGCGGTCTTAGAGCCAAGTCCATGGTCTTGGCTCCAAGTTCACGGTCTTAGAGCCAAGTCTGTGGTCTTGGCTCCAAGTTCACGGTCTTGACCTCAAGACCACCAAGACTGCAGACTTGAGGCTAAGACCATGGTCTTGGCTCTAAGACCGTGGTCTTGGCCCAAGTTCAGATTCAAGACCATGACATTTTGCTGATGCAGCCGCTTAATGACTTGGCGCCTTGAGCCAGCCTAGGCCGCCCAAGCATGTCTCAGAGTTGCTAGCCTCCGACTGTCCGTAGCGTGCCAACAAATTCACGGAGTAAGGAACGGGCCGGCCCCAGCCTGCCCAAACGTTGCGGCGAAGGTCGGTGCGCCGCGCGAGCTAGTGCCAACTTAATGGTCTTGGTGATAATGGAGACTCAGCTCATCTGTAATATCTTCCGGCAGCACATAAGCACACTTACTACAGTTCATATCTCCTTGCAAGATCTTCTGATGATTTTGTTCCCCGGTATCCTGGGAGGATCACATTCTCGCCAGTCATCTCTCGAGTACCTGCATAGTATGCAACCAGCCCACATTCCTTGCCTCCCAATTTGTTGATGCGTATCTACTACACAGCTTTTGATTGAAGGAGATCCCCACGTTCACCATGACACCATATGGCTGCCTTTCTCGCCTTGTTTCCTGTAATATGGAAGAGCTCACTCTAGCACAGACGGCATTTCATATTCAGGATGAAGACACAGTACAGACAGTGTCCCTATGGCTTATCCTTCAATGCTGCCCGGATCCACCACCAGACGATGTCAAACCTCTTACCACGGAGACTATCACTTGGTTGCGATTTTAGATACCGATACCAACCAGCCATCTCAACCATACAAGCTTGGTAAGCAGGAGTTCCACGTTGCCCTCTGGCACACAACTGTAAGGAAAACATTGTCTCCAATTCCTGTGGCACTAGAGCACGAGCGCATTCGAATACCGTTCCTGATCACCGCTGAGTCTCTGAGACGTGTGTTCAACCCTGAATATCGGGATCTGGACACTGTACCGACTGTTCCGTTCAACTGGGACGGACATATCCCCATCACCTTCCGCTTATCGTTGTCATCTGGCTCCGGTTCCGTCAAGCACAGCTTGGTTTGTTCTTGGCATCTGTGATTCGGTACAGCCTGGCTAGCATTCTTTGAGCTTTCACCCCCACCCGGCTCAGGAACCACTGTCGGCAGATGAGTATCTCACCCACAGCTATGAATGGGACCATATTTCTACGTGGCCAGAAGGACGATATGGTATGTTGCATTCTTGGTATGTTCTGCACGATATCTGAAGAGATGTAGGCTCCCGCATATAGACCCGAAGACGAGTTCATCATCCGGCTCCTCGTCCACATCTCACTCTCGCTCATCGTATCCTTCCCTCTCCAGCAACCCAATCCCGGTCACTCACTTCCACACACAGATCTGATTCCTCCGCCGAAAGCGGATATGTGCAACTCTGTGGTGCAATGCCGCATTCCCCGTTCCTCCTGTCTCGAAGCTCCCATCCGCTACCCCAACCCATCAGGAAAAACCGCATTCGCTAATTAAAGATAAATTAGTGTAGTCCTTGATCATGGCTGCTAATCCACTCTTCACCGTCTCTAATGACAGGCGGCAAATGTAAGCGAGCGACGATTTGAATTACTGAGTTTCAGCGTACTTCCTTGTTCTAGAGGTCCATATTTGTCTGAAGGTGGTCAATTTGAGAGGTTGCAGGTGCTGTCCGCTTGTGTGCACTCCAGCAGATACACGGCTGCCTCTTTGAGCGCTCAGGGACTTGGACGCAGAAGGGCATTTGGTTAGACGCCTGTCGTGCTTGGACCGTGGACGTGCAAACTCGACGGGCGTTTGAATGCGAGTGAACCCCTTAGTGAGGTACACTGGCCTTATCTGGTAGGTTGCGCGGTGCAGCGTGTTCATATGTTCATTATCTGGAAGGAGCAGCAGTGCAGGTAGGTGGGCGCAGATTAAGGAGTGCATGCTCCACAAAGCTCTAGATGTGTTCATTCTGTTTGACCTCTCCCCACCTGCCCCGTTGAGTCACCGTGAACTCCATGGGTGCGGCACGGACTGGGTGCTCTCCTCGCGTGCGCGTAAGTTCCTCCATCTCTTGTCGTCATGTACGCTTCCTGTTCATGTGTGATATCCATGTTCTCCAGTTAAGTACATGCAGTAGCACTGGACTAACATCACAATGCCTGTTCGGAACTATTGTTCCTTCGCCGCTCCTTCTCCCTACCCTCTTGTTGAACAGGTGCTGGTTTACACAGCTTGCCTAATACAGCCGTCACAAGATATGGAACGGCACAGCCGGTTACTGCAATAACCGAGGCTGTACTACTCATGTGGTACACACACAGCTTCGCTGTGTACGCACTGCTTCTCTGTGCGACTGTGCATCCTGGGAATGTACTGTATAGTACTACGTAGCCACAGATGTACAGTAGTATATATAGGGGACCTCTGTACCCCCAAT